AGATGGAAAACACCACGAATAACATGACCTACTTTAATGATTTTAGGCATTGCAAAAACATGTTTCATTGAAATATAGTCTGATTTAATCTCTGATAATAGATTAATTTACCCATTTCTTTTCTGTACAAATGCAATGGAGTCCAATGTCCAAGATATCATTTTTATTGAATAATGCAAAATGTCTATGGAGATTCTCAGTCATCCAGGTCATGGTTGTCCCAAAGGTGCTTTTTCAGGAGGCAACTGAAACTCCAGTTGCCTCCTGAAAAGCATCTTTGGGGTGAACAATGCAAAGTTTAATATCTGTTGAAATATTGTTAAAGCAGCTTTTTATTGTTTAGATCAAACTCCTTATTCGACCTAACCTACTTGATATTGATATTTATTTTGATGGATGTATATGTACAAATCAAATTGATTTATTGAGAAATATTTTTAAAGATTAATCACAAGATTCTTAGTTTCAAAAGACTTGATAATCCAGCTCCCCCAAAACCTATATATCCATTGCCCAAGACAGACCAATCTAATGGATCCATAGTGGCACTACAAAATCCCATGGTAATCAGGGTGTGATCTAAGACACTGAAAGCTCCCCCAATTTCAGATGACACAGCCACAACTCCAACAGGAAACCAGATCTGGAGTGTGATCATTATCCCATGTTGGGCTCTGTTAAGCCCATGATCATCAAGATGGGCATGAACTCCTGAGACCTCCGACTCCACTCCTAGAGAAGGCAAATGGAAGTCCTCTGAAGTCTGGGGAACTACACTGCCATCCTAGAAATGGAATGAAAGAGCTCAGGCAAGGAGGATATTATACAGAAGGAACAATAGCAACAATCCCTAGAGGGCAGTTAATCCCTAGAGGGCAGTTTAATGAACAGGGTTTCACACCTCTCAAAAGCCATAAGGGATTCCCAGATGACAATCAGCACCACCACTCCACTCCAGTATAATACTGGCAAATTCTGAGGAATGTATAGTAGAACTCATATAAGGAATATGAAATCATATTTATTTTATATATAAGCATAAGTGCCTCAAGCCTTCTGGCAAGCAGTTTCATTCTGAAATCACCTTATTCTATTTAATTCAACATTTGTATAGCATTTGTATGTCAAGCTCCATTTTTGGAAAATGGAGCAATTGATCCAAGAGAGAACGTATTTCAGCATAAAATGGTGGTCCGTTTTAACTGTGACACAGGATTCACAAGAGTTGGCTCTGAATCTGCACAATGTTATCACTTTGGATGGTCTCCACAGCCTCCAGTCTGTAAAGGTAAATATGGGCAATTTAAGAATTATTACTGTATTTGAGGCGGGAGGAGGGAAAATAGGAACAGGTTTTTAAAAGATGTTCTGTTTTCTAGATTGTGTGAGGAAAACTAATCATTGGCCAGTAAACAAATTTCTCTTAGCAGGATGCTTTGAATGGGTTTCTCACATCTCCATTTATACATATGCAATATAACAGCAAAACTGTATTTGTAAATTGTAAACAGAAAATGTTTATATGAATAGTAATATTGTTTTTCAGGTTTTTTTTTATATTTTAGAGGCAATTTCTTTTTCATTATATTAATAGGACTTTTGAAAAAGAAGTCAGATAGCGGAATTACAAGCCTATTGTAATGTACTGTTTTGACACTCTCAATACAGATGTTTATTAGGCTTAAACAGACCACCTACACAAAACCAGAAATGCATATTGCAAAAAGAAAGAAATGGTAGTTCTCCTGTATTGACAAGTAACAGCTGGATTGGCAGCCCGTTTTTTTACTGTGGTCATTAAAAAACACACTATTTTTATTAAACTTTATAAATATCATAAAGAAAAAATATATAAAGAAGTAACAGAATAACAGAGTTGGAAGGGAACTTGGAGGTCTTCTAGTATAACCCTCAGCTCAAGAAGAAGCATACAAAAAGAAAATATGATGAACAAATAAGAAGAAAAACATTCCATTAACACCTTCTAGGAAAATAAAATGATGGTAAGAAACTATTTATTTGAAAAATCTGATTCTCCTGATCCAAAGGACAAGGAAAAATCTTAGCTGCTTTTCTAAAGGTCTTTAAGGTGGAGACCAATTCTATATTGAGGGAAAATGTTTCAAAAAGGCTGGTGCATCCATCAAAAAGACACATAACCTGGGTCCCATAAGATGACATTTTCCCTGTGAAAGAAATCAGATCAATATATACTCTTGGGAGCAGTTGGCCCTGCAAGTAGTCAATCCTATCCCATGTAGGGCTTTATAGATGGTAATCAGCACCTGAAAATGCATCTTGAAGCCTGTTGGGAGCCACAACAGCTCACAGAGTACATAGGTCTTGTGGACAAAGTGATATGTGGGATCGCAAAATCCCGGGGTCCTGCTCCCTGCAGGACGGTGGTGATGTACGTTGGCCTAAACCAACGGGCCTCGCTTTAGGTTAGGAAACACACGGACAACATGCTTCTTCAGGTGAGATGGCAGGCAAAAGACCCTGAAGCCTCTCCGTGCCTCTCTTTTATTGGTACATTAGCATCATCAAGGGGGGGGGTGTACAAAAGGACAATAGGGGGATGGCTCTNATGCAAAGTTTAATATCTGTTGAAATATTGTTAAAGCAGCTTTTTATTGTTTAGATCAAACTCCTTATTCGACCTAACCTACTTGATATTGATATTTATTTTGATGGATGTATATGTACAAATCAAATTGATTTATTGAGAAATATTTTTAAAGATTAATCACAAGATTCTTAGTTTCATAAGACTTGATAATCCAGCTTCATTCATTCTGAAATCACCTTATTCTATTTAATTCAACATTTGTATAGCATCTGTATGTCATGCTCCATTTTTGGAAAATGGTGCAATTAATCCAAGAGAGGACGTATTTCAGCATAAAATGGTGGTGCGTTTTAACTGTGACAGAGGATTCATAAGAGTTGGCTCTGAATCTGCACAATGTTATCACTTTGGATGGTCTCCACAGCCTCCAGTCTGTAAAGGTAAATATGGGCAATTTAAGAATTATTACTGTATTTGAGGCGGGAGGAGGGAAAATAGGGACAGGTTTTTTTAAAAAAATATGTTCTATTTTCTAGATTGTGTGAGGAAAGTTAATCATTGGCCAGTAAACAGATTTCTCTTAGCAGGATGCTTTGAATGGGTTTCTCACATCTCCTTTTATACATATGCAACATAAGAGCAAAACTGCATTCGTAAATTGTAAATAGAAAATGTTTATATGAATAGTAATATTGTTTTTCAGGGTTTTTTTTTATTTTAGAGGCAATTTCTTTTTCATTATATTAATAGGACTTTTGAAAAAGAAGTCAGATAGCAGAATTACAAGCCTATTGTAGTATACTGTTTTGACACTCTCAATACAGATGTTTATTAGGCTTAAACAGACCACCTACACAAAACCAGAAATGCATATTGCAAAAAGAAAGAAATGGTAGTTCTCCTGTATTGACAAGTAACAGCTGGATTGGCAGTCCGTTTTTTATTGTGGTCATTAAAAAATACACCATTTTTTTATTAAACTTTATAAAAGATTACAATTAGAACAGCAAAAATACAAAGAAAAAAAGAAAAATAAGAAGTGCAGAAAAGGATGAAAAAGAGAAAGAAAAACAGAAAAGAAAAAAATATTAAGAATATCATAAAGAAAAAATATATAAAGAAGTAACAGAATAACAGAGTTGGAAGGGAACTTGGAGGTCTTCTAGTATAACCCTCTGCTCAAGAAGAAGTATACAAAAAGAAAATATGATGAACAAATAAGAAGAAAAACATTCCATTAACACCTTCTAAGAAAATAAAATGGTGATAAGAAACTATTCATTTGAAAAATCTGATTCTCCTGATCCAAAGGACAAGGAAAAATCTTAGCTGCTTTTCTAAAGGTCTTTAAGGTGGAGACCAATTCTATATTGAGGGAAAATGTTTCAAAAAGGCTGGTGCATCCATCAAAAAGGTACATAACCTGGGTCCCATAAGATGACATTTTCCCTGTGAAAGAAATCAGATCAATATATACTCTTGGGAGCAGTTGGCCCTGCAAGTAGTCAATCCTATCCCATGTAGGGCTTTATAGATGGAACCAGCACCTGAAAATGCATTTTGAAGCCTGTTGGGAGCCACAACAGCTCACAGAGTACATAGGTCTTGTGGGCAAAATGATAGACATACATAATTATTCACATCATTGCATTCTGGATGAAGTGAATTTTCTAGATGGTCTTCAAGCACAGTCCCGTGTATAGCACATTGCAATAATTCAATCAGGAGGTGACTGAGGCATCAATGACTGTGAGAAGCTCCCCTATAAAGACTACAGAGGATGACTTTGATAGAGACAAGGAAGAGCTGTTACTAAGTCAGTGAGGAAATAAATATTGCAGAAACCCAATGAGAAGGCATATGTAAAACACCAGTCTAATTTACATGATATATAAAAGAAGGAAGAATGGAAACACATTCAGATAGGCAAGATTGCTATATCCAATATTAATAACATGTGATTTAGGCTTCTATGATGTTTATTTTTTTGGTCTGATCCAGGATCAAGCACAGTTGGCAAGTAAGATGAAGTTTCGCAAAGGCTCCCCTGGCCACAGTTGCCACCTGCTCTTCAAGTAGGAGCCATGTGTGCAAGAAGTATGACCTGAACCCAAGCAAGGAGGTGCAACCCTACTGAGAGTCAAGGTTGACTGATAAGGCCAATAACCCATAGCCACTTGGTCTTGTTAGGCTGGATCTAAAGTCTGTTCTTCCCCATTCAGATCCTCACAGCCATCCCAATACTATGACAGAACTGTGACAGTTTCATTTGAACAACCAGGAACAAAAATGTAAAGTAGGTATAATTGAATTATGATAATACTGCACAAAAACTGGGGAATGATCTCCCCCAACAGCTTCATGTAGATATTTAGAAAAGGATGGGGCTAAGCCTTTAGTCACCCGCACCAACCAAGAAGTTCAGACTACACTGCTCCACCTTACATTGACTGGAAACAGCCCTGGAATAAGAAGAAACACTTCAATAAGTGCACCATTTCCCAAGCTCCTAAGCTAGTCCAGAATGTAACTGTGATTGATGGTAACAAAGGTTCCTTTTCTTTCAGCCATGGAAGACTTAACAACAAAAGTTATTTATTTCTGAGTTTTCTTCAGTATTTAATCTGAAGGAGAGAGTTTTCTTTGCTCAGATATTTAACCATCTAGCCCTCTTGGGATTCCTTCTAGGCATTTAAGATAAATGTTTGACCATGTTCAGCATTACTTTTCTTAAAATGGAGCACTCGGTTCTAAATATAACTTCCCTCAACTTTCTAATACTTTCTGTTCTGTTCTCGATGAAAAGGCATTGAGACGAGGCAAGAGTAACAACAGTCTTACTTTATTCAATCTCCAAAGAATCAAAGACAAAATGGCGCGGATTCCTTTTATACCCATTTGCAGGGACAGTGTCAGCCAATCAATGCAACGTATTTCTCCCGCCTTGCGCATGCGCAATAGGCTGGAGACAGCCTGTCTGGTCCCGGGCATCCACATGGTCTGCCCGGGCCTCTCTGCAGCTTCCTGCACCTGCTGAGTCACTCAGCAGGCCCAGGACATAACTCTTTCATTCATTGTTCATTCCACATGTTCATTCAGTCAATGTTTTTCTCTCCTTTTGGTTAGTACCAAGTCAGAAGAGTGGGTCCTCTTCTAACTTTCCACATGATTTGAAGAAGACAATTATTGGAAACTCATATCTAGACTTTGCTGAAGAGAGGTCCTACCTATTACTACAACTTCACCTGTCTTTGAAAGATTTGCAAACTTAATCCACATCTTTTTGCATCTTTTTGAGGAGAAGGGAGGAAATGAGTAACAGATAACTATAGCAGACACAAAGATTACTTATTTATGTTTTTAAAGTTATTTCTAACATATACTCTTGGACACCAGACTTATATTGACATTTTTAACAAACATTATCTACTACTGGTTTTGTTCCTGTGGTTGTTGTAATAGTTGCAATAGATATAACAATAATAATATTCAGGCATATCCCTCTGGGACATGAGTAAACACTCAAAATAAAAGTGATATTCTCTTTTTTTTCCTAGAAAATGTTAAATCTTGTCAGGCATCACCCAGGATTTCACATGGCATGGTTACCGATGAACGTAAAGCAGTACATCAGCATGGTGATCTTTTGGAAGTTCAGTGTGATATCTCATTTGCACTTCGTGGATCAAAAACCATAGAGTGTGTGGATGGTGAATGGGCGCCCTTACCATCATGCATAGGTAAGCAGAAATATGAGTAGACAGACTTGTAGATGTAACATGGTAGTTTCTTGCACTTAGCTGGGGGGGGGGATGGTGGGGAGGAGGGTCCATAGTGTGCAAACTGGAATCTTTCTTCATAACAGATTCCAATGCATTATTAGTAGAGAATGGAAGGGTAAGATTACTTTTCAGTGCTTAACTAACAAAATTATAGAGGAATTAAAGTATTCTGATTTATCCTAATAATCTCATGAATCATGAATGTATTCCTGTGCTTACTTCTAGTACTTGGGTCCTTGTTACTTGCAATAGGAAGTAGAAATTGAGAGTGTCCTTCTCTTTGTAGCATTTCCTTGGCTCTGTTAATACAAATGGTAGAATAAGACATTGCTAGAGACAGCATGATATTCGGAAAAATTGGGAAAAAATACTGGAAGTAAAATGAATGTGGGCTTAATATAGCTAGCTGGTTTATCAATTCATATTAAAAATACACAGGTTTGAAGACTTCACAGGTTTGAAGACTTCAATGTTGCAAATTAAATAATAACTTGTCAAAAAATTGCAGCAAATGATTCAAATAATTGGCAATAAAAATATGTAAGTCATGGTAATATAGTACAAAGTGAAAGTCCATATATATTTGCCTTCTTCGTTTGATGAGTACTATCCTTAATGTTTTATTTATTTATTTATTTATTTATTTATTTATTTATTTATTTATTTATGAATGAATGAATGAATGAATGAATGAATGAATGATAACAGAGTTACAATAGGTACATGAAACAGAGGGGCAAATTGTTGGAAGAGCTAAATAATTAATACCTTTATGTAATAACATCTTTTCCTGCTGCTTTTCAACAGAAGAAGTAAAAACTTGTGGACCACCTCGAAAAATTACAAGGGGAATTCCTGTTGATGCTATGTCATCCATATACAGGCATGGTGAAACCGTGGCATACCAATGCCAACAACCATCTGTCAGTATTGGGACCAACCCAGCGAAGTGTCTTCATGGACAATGGGAACTACCATCATGTCTTGGTAAGCTAGAGTGTTATGGCTAAACCTACAGAAATGAATTTTAAGCTTGTCTTGGATTACATTAGTATTTATCATTGACATGATTGCTCAGAAGTGTGATTCAGTGGATTAACAGTGGGATCTGCTGCAAGGAGGTCTAAGTTATATTGAATTGGTTTATGCCAGTGTGGTTCACAGGCACCTTACTTTTCCAGTCTGATCCCTATTTAAATGAGAGTCCTCAAAGATAATGGGGAGATACATAGAACATAGTTTGCAACCCCTTTTGAAAAATATGCAGGGTATATGAATAAAAATTATGAGACATACCAATGATACTTTCAATCTGATTAATGTTTCTTTATATCCAGTCTGTAAATAGCAGTGTTTATTAAACAGTGTTCTTAGTTCTTTTATTTATTATGCACTTATGACTAGGCTCAGTACAGAGACAGAACAAGCAATTTAATTCAATAATATATTCCAATGAGCTATAACATAAGAAACAAGCAAATTAAAAAGTCCATGATATATAATAATCCAAGTAAGTAAGTAATGTTCATTGTTCTGAATCATGTAATAACAAGATTAATCACTAGATATTTTAAATGACATATTTATTTTAAGGCATTTTTACAGGGCCTATGGAAAAGAAGCATTTTAATGCTTTAGTGATTCAATTCCAAACATAATCCTAGTGGGATTATGTCTATTCATAGAAATGGCCTCTGATGATAAAAGCATGATGTGACTCTTCTAGTACATGGTAGAACCAAATGATCTAGATTATAACTACTGGTTCAAGCTCACAGGTACCTGAACCAGCAACCAAATAATTGACTAAGCCCATATGCAGGGCACTATGCATTCACTCTATCAATTCATACTGCTATTGTTCTCAAACTTCCAACTAATGTAACAGCTGGTATTAAAAAGAGATAGGGGAAAAATAAGGAAGGTTCAGAGTCCTCAAAGATAATGGTGAGATACATAGAACATAGTTAGCAACCCCTTTTGAAAAATATGAGACATACAAAAGATACTTTCAATTTGACTAATGTTTGTTTATGCACAGTCTGTACCTAGCAGTATTTATTAAACAATGTTCATAGTTTTTTAAATTATTACGCACTTACAATTTGGCTCAGTACAGAAGATGATTAGGGGGCTAGAGGTTTAAATATAGAATGAACAGTTGCAGGAACTGAGTATATTTAGTCTCATGAAGAAAAGGACTAGGGGTGACATGATAGCAGTATTCCAATATTTGAGGGGCTGTCACAGAAAAGAGAGGTCAACCTACATTTTCATTCTTTTATTGAATGGGTTTCAAGACAATCTACTATAGATTTGGACTTCTATGTTCCTCACAATTGGGGAGATGTATAACTGGTAGTCTTGGAATTCAGAGTGGGGATAGAAAGGAGAGAGATAAGATTGTCCTGGTTTATTTATTTATTTGTTTGTTTATTTATCAATTCAATCTGTATTCCGCCCACCTCATTAAAGGCAACTCTCTGTCTGAAGTTTAATTTGAGGAGCGTATCAAATCTAAAATCCTACATGGGAGAGTATGTCTACAATCTGTCAATCAGAGTAGATAACAGATGAATAAACCAGAAATTGATCAGCATATGTTTGGAAGATGAACTTGGAATATGAAGATATCCTAGACGAAGAAGAATGGATTATATAAATAAAGAGAAGAATAATGGATTTATTATAAAAATACTTATGTAATAATATTTGAATTGTTAGTTAATCCACGAAGATGTGCACGTACACAGCATGCAGACTTTCAACCAGGATATTTGTTTAAGACCAACCAGTTTGCAACCTACCGCTGTGGTTCCAATCTGCATCAAACAAAATGTGTTGATGGATCATGGTTTCCCAAGCCACAGTGTAAAGGTATCATTTGCATGCTATGTAAAAGTTTATGGTTTTTCAATAGGATGACATTAAACATACCTAAAAGTGGGGCACATCTGAGGATTGTCTTCCTACATAATATCTTTTGATGTTGAATTGGTATCGATCTTATATGTCTTTTACTGTAGTTGTTTTATGTGTACCATTGAGAGTTTCATGATTGTAGGGAAGTTCCAGTGTGATCAACTGGTGATCAGGAACATCTGTTCTTTTATGAGAGTTTTCAGGTGAAATGTTAAGGATGAATTATGAATATTAGCTGACAGCAAAGGGTTAGAATTGGAGGAAACAGACATCATGACTTAAATTTGGGGCCTGAAATATTAGTTTGTGAAAAAAAAGGCTGGAGGATATGAAGACAAATGTGAGAGCAGATAGCAGAAAAGAATAATTGGGAAAAAAGATAGATGAAAGATTTACCATGGTCTCATAAGAAATGACAGCTATAGCTGTTGTTTTGTTTGTTCCCCAGTTGGGCAAATCCTGAGGTTCAGTATCATTGTGGAAAGAGAAGTCTGTGTGGATCTCTATGGTTGTCACTCTGAGATGGATTTTGAGCTCTTGCAGTTTGTTGATAGGCTACCATTTCTACTACATTAACAGCTGGAGACTTAATCAGAGCCTGCTGTTAGGTGCTAAATCTTGGAGTCTTTGTCAAGGAGTCTTACTATGCAAGCAGTCTATCCCACAGACAACCGGAGAGGGCAAAGGAAGGAATAGCACATAGGGCCTTTCGTTCGTTCCCTATAGATTTCCAGGGTCAATTCCTGGTGTTGACCTATAAAACCTATAAGGTTACTGTTTCTCAATGGCAGCACCAGCATTCCGGAACAACATTTTTCCTTAGGAAAATGTTCCAAACCGATCTCTTTCACAGAACATTTGTGGATTAATTGCATGTCCTCTACCTTAGATTTATTGTTAAGGTACTATTATTAGGATCTGATTGCTATTTAATTTTGAAAGTGAGTAATTTATACATGTTGTTTTATTCTTAATATAAGTGCTTATCTATAAAACATTGTCAAACATATATCTCCTGAGGGTTAAGGCAAATATTAACTAACAGGAGTAAAGATATAATTAGCAGAATCCAATTGCCCTGGTGTCCAAAACTACTTTTCCAGCAACGCTTGTGGACACCAGCAGTTGGGGAAAAAAATGAGAGCCACAAGGTTCTCCAAGCCTCAGGTGCCAAAGAGAAAAGAAGAATATAATAGTCTGATATTATACTATATAATACTGAATATACTGAAAGCAAACTAAGATCTGAAGGGTACCACAAAGGCTACTTGCCAGGTCTACCATTCAGGCTGAAGCAAATTTCATCATATAACTTAACTGAAAGCCTGACTAAAAGAAACCTTGATAATTGTATCATACAAATATGATTAGAATTTCAATCTCATTATGATCAAGAAAATCTCAGTCACAGTAGATAAGAAAGAGATTTGATATAAAAACTTCCTAAGAAAATACTTGGGATTCATCTTCATTGGGTGAAGTAGAAGTGGAATAATATTGAGTAGCTTTATTCAAAGATTTATAAGCTTTAAATAGTCCATACATTAAGAATTATGTCTTGATATATATTGGGAATTCTGCAATGGTATAACTGAGTTCTTTGTTTTGGCTGTTTCTTGGTCACCGATTTTGTTCCTTTGTATTCACATTTGCCTTGGACAGAAGTTTTTAAAATCTAAGTCTAGACTACACTTGAGAATTGTTTGCCTAAACAACAACTCTAAAATCTAAACTTTAGATTATCATTACTTGTTACCTGATGACACTCTGGGCCACATCAGGGAACAAAATCCTTAGGGGAAAATCTTTTTTTTTTTTTTTTTTAAAAGTAGGTTTAAGAACTGTTAGCTCTAGTTCTAATCCAGTTCTAATTATAAGATGTTTTTGTTAAAGAAACCTGCCCTCCACCACCTCAGCTTCCCAATGCCATTAATATAGCCGAGATGAGAATCTACAGGAGTGAAGAAGAAATTAGCTTCAAGTGTCAAGGAAATTTTCTTCTTCGTGGCCCACCAAAAATAAAATGTGAAGATGGAAAATGGCAAACACCTCCACGCTGTCTTGGTTTGTATGCTGAGTTTTGAGTTTATTTTAGAGAAACTGGACATTACAGATAAAGTGTAAGGAGCAAAAAGGTAGGGAGAACATTCAGAGCATGGCTCATGGAATTCTTCATAGCCTCTCTGTATATGCATGTGCTCTGTTCCAAGAGATTAATCAGATTCTTTGCAAATGTACATTTCTCTCAGAATCAGATTGGTATATAGATACTAAAATGATTTATCTATGTTTCTGCTCTGCCCTGTGTCTGTGTATAGTGGCAGACATAGGAGCAGTATATGCTGTAATATACTCCATTCTGGATCACATGATCAAGAGAGAGGCGTTTAGGATGGAAGGGCTGGCAGCATCTTGAGCCTTTCTCAGCTGCTCCAATAGTGGCTGCTTATTTGCACAGAGATTTGTTTTCTGAATCGCATTTCATTAAAAGATATTTGTTATATATAGAGATACAATAGAAATTTCTTTATGATATTTTATTTCTTTAATTAACAAACCTTTCTATGTTTACTGCTTCTGGATATACGATGTAAACCTCTTCCTCAAATTGACAATGGTGTACTAGAAATTGGGAACCGCACAACATTTTTTCCTGGTGAAGTTGTGAAGTATAGTTGCTTTTCAGGTCTTGAAATTAGTCAGATAAATACTGTAACATGTGAAAATAGGAAATGGTCTGAGTTACCCATTTGAAAAGGTAAGAAATAGTACTTTTTTCTATTGAAATGCCATCATGGGTTTGAGTTCTAAGCAAAAGTTATCTGACTTCCGGTTTTGTGGCCGTAGCACATGGTCGTGGGAGAATGGAGATCCGCTCCCCATGGCTAGTTTTGCCCTATCAGGGGACCCTAGATGAGTCTGAAGTCACCCTGAAGAGGTGATCGCGAAGGAGGGACACCCCGTTGATCACAAAGTGATGGTGGTCACTTTGTTTGATCTCAGGGAAGCCCTGCGACCCGACAGGAGAAAGGCTAGCATGAGATCAGTGTCTAGCCCAAGCTACTTGCAGCCGAAGTCCAAGAGCCGAATCTGAACATCAGTGAACAGCATGCTTGGAATTGGTGAGAGTACTGATCTTCTTTCTGCTATCAATAGAATCCTTAAGAAAGATCCCCAAAGCAAGAAAACCTCTTAAAATGAAGGGAGGGGACTTTATCCCCATTCCCTCATAGATGGAAGCGGCAAATTAATACTAAGGGGGAAACAGATATACTGAAACTCAATTTAAAATACTACAGTCTGGATAAATTTAGGAACTAAAAAACTGTCAAGATTATACCATAAAGAGGTTTGATGAAATTATAAAAAATATATAACAAAAATAATTTTTTGAGTGAAAGAACTGCTGAGCTTTGTTTCTCTCCAGATTCACATAGCATCTTGTTATTCACTAAGAATTTAATTCTTAATTTAAATTTAATTTAATTCACCAATATTAATAATTCTTTCCCTGTCTATATCTATATACCTATATATTTATATCTATGCATTGACAAAAGCACTTAAAATATTTAAAAGACCAAAGTTGTGGATGTAATGGATTCTGAGGTAACTTGGTCTTCTGCAATTTTTCTAAATCAGAACACTTCTTAAGATTCCTGTGAGCTAAATAAAATTTCTTCTAGTCAGAACAATGGGAGAGAAATACTATGGGGATTAGGGTGATGCTTAAAAATAAAGAGGAATGGGGAAGTGAAGGAAAAAAAAATATGCCAGCATTTTATCTCTTCTGGTCTTTTTGCTGAATCTTGGCAGATTCCAAGATGAAGACCAGGAGATTCCTCTGTGCTGGGGGTGAAATAAGTGGAAATTCTAATTTAACCTCAGTGGGCTATTCCCTGTGAGGATGAATTTAGAGTTTGGTAACATCTAATTCCCCACTCCTATTTTTAAAATATTCGCTTTGGGTTCATTCTGAATACAAGAATTTATATCCTAAAATATCAAGAACAGCCACTAAACATTCTTAGCGTTTGTTACATGTTAATATTATCAAAGGTAATTTTTAAGAAATGAAATTGCTCAGTGATAGAATAGTCTTTTGAATCATTTGAATAATTTTAGCCATTTTAGTTTAACAAACTGAGATGCTGGTATTTCAGAGTCTCCTTGCCCATATATGAAATCAGTTTAAGGTCTTAAAATTATCAAAGATTTTATTCTTTAGCAAATCAAGAAATATCAGTTTGAAAAAAAATAACACAAATTGTACAGATGCAAATATATTTATCCATTGTTCACATTATATTTTACAGCTCTAAATAAATGAATGACAAATTATATATAGCACCCTACTTCAACCAGATGATGGATGTCAGAAATCATATATCATTCCCTTTAATATGACAACGTGAAACTGGATTGTCTACAGCTATAAACTTTGGATCTCAACCTAAAAGTCTATTTTGAAAATGCCAGATTTTACCAACTTTATGGAGAAAATGAGAACACTTATAAATAATTTTACAGACCATTTTTAAAGCAGATAAAATATTATAATGGAACATTGTAAATAACTGTTTAAAAATACACCGAAAGTGAGGAAATTTCCTTTTTGCTAGATACATTTTAGCTGTAAACATTTGATTAATCCGAATGATCAGTCAGCAGTCCATCTTAAAGCAATGACAATAGATAATAGTAATTGAGATTTTTAGCATATAGATGTGTTAAATTCTTCAAAAAAATAAAAAAAATCTAAAACTGATTGTCATTGTTAAGCAATTTGTAATATATTTTGTAAAGAAACAGAGATATACCATACACATCGCAATTCACTATCCAATCCAATATCCACAAACAGTGGTTTCTTCTTGGGTTGCTCTGGAGTTGGCATAATCAGACTTGATGTTCAGAATCAGAGCAAGGTTCAGCCAAATGGATTTCTGCCTATTCTAAAATCTAACATGGGAAAATCACAAACAGATACAAGGTTTGGTTTTCTTCTTTGTTTTGTTTTTCTTTTTTTTTCTTTTCAATAATATGAAAATATGAAATTGTATCAATACAAATTTATGTATTAAATGTATATGCTGCCCATCTCACCAGCAAGTGACTGTAGGAGGTATACAACAAAATACAAATGACAATATAAAAGATTAAAACAATAAATATTAACATTAAAATTAGCAAAGGTAGGCAAGGAAGGGACCAAGAGACAATGGGGGGAAGGTGCAGTCTTCTCTTAATCATCTAATCACCTCCAGTATGGAACACCCTCATTGGAGAGACACATTGTTAATTATAATAAATAATCAAATATTAAGATAAATCTTAAAAAAATATTGCAGTGTTTCCAACTGCATGCCTACAAAAAATGTTATTTGACACAAAATGGGCTATAATTTGCCACAATATAAATCCAGACAGATCTACTGAAGACGATCTGTGCAAAGTGAACTCAGGGATGGGCTGCAGAGTGGGTGTCCGTGTGTTTTAAAGCATGGCCAGAGGATATGTTCAGACTTGGTACAGCCATGATTCTGCAGGAACTGTTAACAGGTGGCTGTGAAGTTCTGCAGTTTAAAAACTTCAGCCTACTTTTGAAAAATAATATGGCAATCTCAGATTCTAAAGAAGAGTTTCTACACCATTAGACACCACCAACATGTGGGGCAGCTCAAGACATCTTTTGACAGAATGCAAGAAAACCTATTTTGGAGGTTTTGATGAAGAAAATGGTTACTTCAGACCCATTTTGCATGCATGTTGCAAGCTGTGTTGTAAGTTACCGATTAGGAACAGTGGAAAACAGAAGACATAGAGATACAATAATAATAGGTTATACTTTATATTTTGCAGCCTCTAAGTTAATACCACATGGGCAGCAGGCAGTTAAAAGCACCCCATTTTTTTTATGGCGGTGGAAATCATGGCAGTTGCAAATATAGAATCTGATCTAGAATACAGGGATATTTTTCTGATGTTCTAGTTATGCCCTCTGAACTCCGAATTACCAATAAAATCAAGTGCTAAGAGAAATATGCAATTATTTTTCAGTATTGTTTTGGTTGAATAAAATATGAAAATATTCTATAGTTTAATATTCTGTATTCTGTATTTTTATATTTAATATTCTAAAGGAACTTTTCTGTGAGGGAAGTCATGGTGGTGTGGATTCCCCTTTTCAGGACGGAAAGAAATGATAAAAACCTGTCTGTGACATGGCTTTCAGGATAAGATTCCTATATCCTTCACAAGCCTGCAAGAATTAATTTTCCTATAAATAAAACAGTGATGACTGGTTTAGTTCATCAGTTCAAAATGATCCCATAGATGTCTCCAAATTTTGTAAGGAAAACCATGGAAAAATGTTTATATCAACAGTTATCGCTGTGCTATCCAAATATGCCTGGACCTCCTCTTTACCTGTCCAACAGACAACTGCCAGACTTAATCATAGAATCTCTTCAGTCAATCTACAAGCTGATCTACAGCTAATTTCTTCCCCATACTGAGCCATGAACATGCGTATTCAGCATAATGTAGATATCAAAGCTGCCGAAAGTAGAGATGCTCTACAACAGGGGTAGTCAACCTTGGCTCTTTTATGACTCGTGGACTTCAATTCCCAGAATTCCTGAGCCAGCTTAGCTGGCTCAGGAATTCTGGGAGTTGAAGTCCACGAGTCATAAAAGAGCCAAGGTTGACTACCCCTGCTCTACAAGATACTAGCAAGAGAGCTAACGACCAGCCCTCAGAATACTAATGACAGATGACTGCAAAGGATATAAATCCTTCCATTCCCCATCATTCAGTTAAAACTGAAGAAGCTTCTTGGATGAGAAGCAAAATGTTTTCAAGGGAAAAAACCCCCCAAGAAAATCCAATTGCCCTCTGGAAAAGCATATTTGGGACAACCATGACCTGGATGATTGAGAATCTCCATAGACACTTTTCTCAAGTTACTTTCTGGGCCTGGTCTCAGGCTCCTCTTATCTGACTGCTGCCTTGGTAATGGCTCTAGTCCTCTGTCTCTACAAGTACTGGGAGGGAGAAACACTGTTTACACTAAAGAAAAAGATGATGAGATCTTGTTGATCAATTCAAACTGTATTTAATAGGTATTATACTGTTCATATTGCTATCTTCAGAAATAATAGATAGAATTGGCAGCAAAGAATACTTCTTTTTTTATGAATCATAAAATATTTAATAAGTATATTCAGGGGTGGGGAACATACTGTATATAAAATTTCAGATCACAATATGAAGCAATTTGAGCTCTCTCCAAGCTTGCACTGCTTTCAATGCTGTATAAGATGTATTGCCACTAATACAAGACCTACTAAAAGCAAACAATTTTACCTAATACAAAAGTGGCTTGTTTTATATGAAATAGTTTTTACACAATTAGAGTGTCTTGAACACCCTCTTTAAGTGCAAAAAACACAAATCACTTTACATCAACAGCAACAATGCATTCATATTCTCAGTCCTTAGTAGTCAACTTGCAGAAGATATGAGAGCACAATAACGCTCACAAAAATAGACTAAAAGCTTGTTGTTGCAAAAGGAGTAAGAAAGACAGCAGGAGAGAAAACACAATAAAGAATTATGCACACCACAGCATTTGATGTTCTCAATAAAACTGGCTTCTTATGTGCCGTTTTCTTGTTGCAAAGAATACGTCTTATACATTTCTTATACATAGCTGTAAAATAATGAGGTACAAAGAGAAAAGTAGAACTTGTATCTTTCTGATATGGAGGCAATATCTTTCTTATTTTCTCTGTTTTTCTATCCCCTGAGCATTGATACTATTTTGACCTTCTGGATATTTGTAAAAGTCAAACCGAACCCTAGTTCTGCCAAATCTTGGGGAAAAAAACAAACAGGGACCAAAGTGTACAGTCTCCCTTATATGATTGGTAATTATTAACTATATTTGGTTGAAGATTGTAAAACTCCAGATATTATTTAAGAAAGATTTTGGATATCTGCAGCATGTGGTTCCTATTCCTATGGATATGCAAAATACAAAATAGATATGTCAGATATAAAATGTAATTTTTTAATTATCAAATTACCACACTGCCCACCACACCTGATTGACTCTGGCTGTTTTACAATAAAAATACAGTGTTAAGGCCTTGAAGAATGAGGAAACTGTTTGCACTACCAGTAATTTTTCATAAATGTCATGTATAATAATTTTGCAGTTAGCTGCTACTACTGAAGAATTGAGAAGACTCAGAATTTATCAACTTTTGAATGCAAGAGATGTTTTTTTTTCCTTCTGAAGAGTTGGAAACACTGCCTGAAAAGCTGACCTATTGCTTGTTTTGTTTGCCTTAATCATTGCAACACAAAGTTGAAAAATTCTCGTGGAGTCCTCTCTTAGCTGATTATATTCTTATTCCCATAATACTTTCTCTTCCTAGTTTCCTTGACAACAAACAAACATAAAATGAGAAAGAGATGGTAGTAGCTAGGAGAAATCTGCTGAGATTGCCAAGCTGCTGAAGTGAGGTTTGGTGGCTCAGACATTGCCTGAACAACTATGAAGAACGGGCTGCTCCTGGTTGCTGCTGTTCTTCTCTGGCCATGTTGCTCTTCTCAAAATGGTAAGTTAAGAAAAAAAATCAAGGAATTACTAAAAAAAATAACCAGCTTCTGTTGCATTCACTAAAGTTGCTTTTAGCAAAAGCAAAGAGTTCAATTTTTCATTTATAGCTTTCTGGAAATTTGTAATGGCAGATTCTTTAAGAATATCATAGATTTATAATTCCAATCTCCTTTTCAAATGCAAGATTTTTGAGCAAATGATTTGTGTATAGCAAGATAATTTGCATCAGTATTGTAAATTAACACCAGTTTTGAGGTGTTAATAACATTAATAAAGTTAATAAAGAACCTGATATGATAATAACCAAATGTCTAGTACATTTCTAATAATGCTACTTTAAAACTGAAGTAAAAGCTTACTCTTTGATTTCATTGAAGCATTTGTGTTTAATGGTTTATTTGGTTAAAAATAAAAAAGGTCCTGAAAAGTTGAAATGAGCAAGTGCAAAAATGGAATATATTTCTACCATAATTTAACCAAGAACATGCTACCAGTACTGTAGAATCTATACTTTCCCCCAATTTTCTCTCTCTTATTCCTCCCAGATGAGGTGACTTTATGACAGCTTCTGTTATGCCTTGGGCTGCCACTAAAGCACATAATACCCGCATAAGAACATTGATCATGTAGGAACCATATCTATAGTTTCTGTAACTTTCTGTGCCAAGGAGATGAGTCTTCATAAGTCATAAGTTTGAAATTTTAGAGATATATCTCAGTTATATGTACATCAGGATAAATAAAAAAACAATTAGTATATATCTTAATTCACAGTGATAATATCCTTTAGGAGAAGAAAAAGTAGAAGATATTCATATCTCAAGACATTGAAGCTTAGACTACATTTGTTTACAGTCCTACTAATCAAACCTTTGAGACAATCATTTATTTATCTCTGTTTTTTTTTTTATGGTTGCCTGCCAGTTGCCTTGGCTAGTAAGAGAAGCATTGGCCCAGTCAACAGAGACTATGGAAGGTATTCCTTTCCCAATAATTGTAAAATTAACTGATAAATCATTGGTACAATAAGTAATGATTGCCACCCCATTTCAAGCTCTTACTTTCAAATTTGACAGCTGAAGGGTTAGATATAATTATTTTACAATTATTTTATTTCCCTGCTTCTGCCCACCATTGCTGTTCTGAATGAATATTTGCACTCTCTACACAGAATAATCTCTCTCTCTCTCTCTCTCTCTCTCTCTCTCTCTCTCTCTCTCTCTCTCTCTCTCTCTCTCTCTCTCTCTCTCTCTCTCTCTCTCTCTGTGTGTGTGTGTGTGTGTGTGTGTGTTAATATCTCACAATTGTATTCTATTATGCTCTATATCTATAAAGATAAGGAGAACAAGGGAAGAACAAGATTAGAGAGTTAATGCATACAGAATAATTCTCAGTTGGTACCATTTAGATCTGATCAAAAGAAAGTAATAGATATTGAAAAATAAATATGAAGACAGTACTAGTAAGCAATGAACTGTTGGCAATTTTAACATTTTGAGTCAGATATTGCTGATGTATACAGGAAAGGTGACACAGTGATTACAATTAACAAAGCTTTATTGTTGAAAATCTAATACAGGGGTCTTCAAACTCGGCCCTTTTATGACTCATGGACTTCAACTCCCAGAATTCCTCAGCCAGTTGAAGTCCATGAGTCATAAAAGGGCCGATTTTGAAAACCCCTGATCTAATATGTACACTGTCAGAAAGATTCCCACAGGACCACCCGTGGTAAGCATGGTAAGTATTGTACAAAATTCCACAGAATCACTTACAAAGAGGTTGCTTTATGGGGGCAAGTTTGATAACCTTTCAACCTCCCTCTATCTGCCCATCCCCAGAGTTGCTTAGGTTAGGCATCAGCAAGGGAAGGTTACATATTACACAAATCCTTGAGTTAGGACCTAATGGAGACTTCCCATCACAGTTGCAACATGTTATGATCATAAAGTGGATCAGTTATGAGACTGATCAGATTTTATTAACATTTTTGGTGGACATTAAATGAATTGTCACAGTCAAGTGAAAATACATATTTGTGGGTCACTGTTGGTGCGGTTTTGCTGTAAACCAGAAGTAAATGCTGGGGTTTTGTTTTGCAAAACTGTCATAAAACAGGGTCATTTGAACATGGGGTGCTGCAAATGGCTGTAAATGCAACCCAGTTGCCTAGCACTGAAGTGCACTCATGTGACCGAGGCAGGGGTGAGTATTGGAATTTTGAATCTCGGTCATAAGCACTCCACAAGTAAGTTCCTTGGAATTTCAAATCCTATAGTTAGGAGTAAGTGCCCAGCAGGCATTGGTTTTCTAGTTAAGGCAAAAGTAGGAAATATTTATCTAACTTGGATTAGAGCAGGAAATTTGTTATCTCACAGTTCATGAGAGTAAATACTGGTAGAAAAAGTGAGCTTGTCCAAGAAAATAATATAATTTTATGTAAATATAATTTCAGCATGTGAAGAACCAGAGGACATTGACTTTGGGGAAATTGTAACCACTGAGAAAGCCAAGTATCTGGAAAATGAAAGAGTGCAATACAGGTGCAACCCTGCCTATGTCTTGGAAGGACCTGAATGGATTCAGTGTAAGGGACAAAAATGGACACCTCATCCACCAAAATGCTTGGGTAAGCCATCATGCTTTTTCTGACTAATGTACACCTGGGAGAAAATACAGAATTCATCCAATAGGATAAGAATTGCAGCTGCCAAATTCTTTGAGAATTAGCTTGAATTTGCATCTAGGTTTTCCATCTATGCTGAAGTCACAACTGTATTGGTATCATAGTCTTCCATTTGAAAGCTAAAAAATTAAACTGGCCTAAATTGTTGAATGAGCAAACAATTAGTGGATATAATTAAATGACATACAATTGGAAGCTTATGTTCACTTTTCAAGAATGCTGAGTAACTGCAGGATACGGTTACATCTGGTTACAGACTCAATGGTTAATAGAGCTCCCACCCTCTGGAATGAGCTGCCCCCTGAGATCAGGGTAATCCCTGATCTCCCTTCCTTCCGCCGCGCCCTTAAGACATGGCTATTCCAACAAGCGGGACTGGCCTAGGGCAATTTTTTTAGAGGGGCTTTAATCATATTTTAATTAGACAATATTTAAATATTTCTTCTTAATTAATTTTAACTCTGTAACTGTTATTTATGTATTTTTAATTGATTGTCAGCCACCCTGAGTCCGCAAGGAGAAGGGCGGGATATAAATTTAATAATAAAAAATAAAAATAAATAAAAGTAGGAAAGTGAATTCTTTTGCTATGGAATCCAGCCAGCTAGAATGCTGGATGTGGTCACACTTAGTAGAAAGAAAACTTCTGAGTCTAGCAATTACAATTTATTCAACACAATTACTCAGATTCCTCCATGATTTTTCCTTCTCTATTAATAATAAAAACTAGACCTCACCATCCTTGTAGCTGGTTCAGTTATTAATTCATCACATTCCTACATCCTTTCTGAAAAACTGTCTGGGAGATAACAAGAGCTCAGAGAATTCAGCCCAATTTGTCAAGAGGTTATTCAGAGGACAAAATGCTTCACTGAAACATTTCTGGTCTGGACTCAGATTTCATTTATCTGACTAGTGTCTTGCTAGTGACTGTACCTTCAGTTCCCCAAGGTTATTCCTTATGTGCGCTACTGATATTAGGATGTAATTAATTTAACAAACCCCTGCATGAATCACTGCTGTGTCATGGCAAAGGGGCTTGTGAAACTCAAAAGATATGAGCTAAGCCATGCAGGGCCCCCCAAGATGGACAGGTCATAGTGGAGAGTTCTGACAAAATGTGGTCCACTCGAGAAGGAAATTGCAACCCATTCCAGTATTCTTGCAAAAAAAAAAAAAAAAACCCCCACACATGAACAATACCAAAAGGCTAAACCATATGATGCTGGAAGATGAGCTACTCAGTTGGAAGATGCCCAATGTGCTACTGGGGAAGAGAGAAGGGCAGTTACAAGTAGGACCAGAAAGAATAAAGCAGCCAGGCCAAAGCTGAAATGGCACTCAGCTATGCATGTATCTGATGCTGTAAGAAGAATATTACATAGGAACCTGGAATGAAGGATCTATGAATCAAGGTAAGTTGGATCTGGTTGAACATGAGATGGAAAACTTGAACATCAACATCTTGGAAATCAGTGAATTAAAGTGGATGAGAATGAGCAACTTTAATTCAGATGACCATTATATAAATTATTGTGGGCAAGAATCCCTTAGAAGAAATCAGCTAGCCTTTATAGTCTATAAAAGAGTGGGGGGGAAATACTGGGATACAATTTCAAAAATGACAGGATGATCTTGGTTCAAATTCAAAGCAAACCATTCAACATCACAATAAATCAAATCTATGCCTTAACCAATGATGCTGTAGATGCTGAAGTTGACTGGTTCAATGAAGATCTACAATACCTTCTAGAACTAACACCAAAAAAAGATACCCTTTTTATTATAGGCGATTGGAATACTAAAAGTAGGAAATCAAGAGGTAACCAGAATAACAGCATGTTTGGCCTTGGACTACAAACTAAAGCAGGGCAAAGGCTAACAGGATTTGTCAAGAGAACACACTGGTCATAGCAAACACTCTTTTCCAACAAGCCGAGAGGCAATTGTACACATGGACATCAGCAGATAATCAATACTGAAATCAGATTGCTTATGTATTTTGCATCCAGGGATAAGAAGCTCTATATAGTCAGTAAAAAAAAAAGTCCTGGAGTTGACTGTAGCTCAGATTCTTCTTGCACATAACTAAGTCAGAATATCAGCAAATAGCCTGAGCCTGCAAAGATGAAGTGAAGAAAGCTAAGGCTCAAAATGAACTAAGGCTTGCAACCAAAGTAAAAAACAAAAAAAGCTTCTTTCAACATGTAAAAAACAAGAAAAAAGTGAAGGAAATGATTGGTCCATTAGTGGGTGAAAGTGGCAAGAAGGTGACAAGCAATAGGGAGAAAGCAGAGCTATTTAACTCGTTTTTTGCATCTGTCTTTACACAAAGGGAAAAAACAGACCAACCTATCAAAAATAGTGCCATAAAAACAGAATAGAAACACAAGTTAAGATAGGCAAGAAAACAGTAAGTTAGAACAATTAACCAGTGGAACAACCTGCCTCCAGAAGTGGTGAATGCTCCAACACTGAAGTTTTTAAGAAGAGACTGGACAGCCATTTGTCTGAAATGGTATAGGGTTTCCTGCCTGAGCAGGGGGTTGGACTAGATGACCTCCAAGGTCCCTTCCAACTTTATTATTATTATTATTATTATTATTATTATTATTATTATTATTATTATTATTATTATTATTATTATTATTATTATTATTATTATTATTATTATTATTATTATTATTATAGTACCTGTCCAGCCTAGATGAGTTCAAATCACCAGGACCAGATGGATTACACCCTAAGGTTCTCAAGGAATTGGCAGATTAGATCTCAGAACCATTGAACTATATTTTTCAAAGATCCTGAGCACTGGGGAACTACTGAAGGACTGGAAAAGAGCAGATGTAGTTCCCATCTTCAAAAAAGGAAAAAAAATGGACCCAGGAAATTACAGACCTATCAGCCTGAACTCAATACCTGGGAAGATTCTGGAAAAGATAATCAAACAATGAATCAGCGAACACCTAAAGGCAAACAAAGTCATTACTAAAAGCCAACATGGGTTTATCAAAAACAGATCATGCCAGACAAATTTTATTGTATTCTTTGATCAGGTAACAAAATTAGTGGATCAGAGGAATGCTGTGGATATAATTTACTTGGACTAAAGTAAGGCATTTGATAAATTAGATCACAACCTACTACTTGACAAGATAGAAAAATGTGGGGTAGACAGCATCACCACCAGATGGATCCGTAGCTGGCTGACCGGCCGTACCCAGTGTGTGGTCCTCAATGGAACTGCATCTACATGGAGGGAATAGAATACTGGGATAGATGGGGAACTCATCAAATTTGCAGATGACACCAAGCTGGCAGGAATAGCCAACACTCCAGAAGACAGGATTAGGATACAGGAGGACCTGTACAGACGTGAACACTGGGCCCTATCCAACAAAATGAAATTAAATGGTGAAAAAAGTAAGATTGTACATTTAGGCAAGAAAAACCAAATGTACAGGTATAGTATAGGTGGTACCTTGCTCAATAGTAGTAACTGTGAGAGGGACCTCGGAGTCCTAGTGGACAATCACTTAAATATGAGCCAGCAGTGTGCTGCAGCTGCCAAAAAGGCCAATACTGGGCTGCATTAAAAGAGGGATAGAATCAAGATCACATTAATACTACTTTACAATGCCTTGGTAAGGCCACACTTGGAACACTGCAACCAGTTTTGGTCACCGCGATGTAAAAAAGATATTGACTCTCTAGAAAGAGTACAGAGAAGAACAACAAAGGTGATTAGGGGACTGGAGGCTAAAACATATAAGGAACGGCTGCTGGAATTGGGTATGTCTAGTTTAATGAAGAGAAGGACGAGGAGGGATATGATAGCAGTGTTCCAATATCTCAGATAGCAGTGTTCCAATATCTCAGGGGCTCCAATATCTCAGGGAGTCAAGCTATTCTTCAAAGCACCTGAAGGCAGGACAAGAAGCAACGGATGGAAACTAATCAAGGAGAGAAGCAACCTAGAACTAAGGAGAAACTTCCTGACAGTTAGAACAATTAACCAGTGGAACAACTTGCCTCCAGAAGCGGGGAATGCTCCAACACTAGAAGTTTTTAAGATGGTATAGGGTTTCCTGCCTGAGCAGGGGGTTGGACTAGATGACCTCCAAGGTCCCTTCCAACTTTATTATTACTATTATTATTATTATTATTATTATTATTATTATTATTATTATTATTATTATTATTATTATTATTGTTGTTGTTGTTGTTGTTGTTGTTGTTGTTGTTGTTGTTAAATTAAGGCTTAAATTGAAGAAAGTAAGGAAAACCATTAGGCCATTCAAATCATATCCCTTATGAATATACAGTGGAGTTGATGAATAGATTTAAGGGATTATATCTGGTAGACAGAATGCCTGAAGAACTATGGATGGAGGTTCATAGCATTGTATAGGAGGCGGCAATTAAAATCATTGAAAAGAAATAGAAGTGCAAGAAAGTAAAGTGACTGTCTGATGAGGCTTTACAAATAGTTTAAAAAAAGGAAAGCGAAAGGCAAGGCAGAAAGGGCAAGATATATCCAATTGAATGCAGATTTTCAGAGAATAGCAAGGGGAGATAAGAAGGCCTTAAATGAACAAAGAAATAGAGGAAAACAATAGAATGGGAAAGACTAGAGATCTCTTCAAGAAAATTGGAGATATCAAACATTTTGGGCATGAAAAGGACAAAAATGGAAGAGACGTAATAGAAGCAGAAGAGACTGAGAAGAGTTGGCAAGAACACCTAGAATGTTTTATTGTCCCTGATAACTATGATGTTGTCATCCCTGACCTCAAGCCAAACATCCTGGACTGTAAAGTCAAGTGGGCCTTAGGAAGCCTTACCAACAACTAAGCTAGAGGAAGTGACTGTATTCCAGCTATTTAAAATCCTAAAAGATGATGCTACACTCAATATGCCAGCATATCTGGAAAACTCAACAATGACCCCAGGATTGGAAAAGTTTAGTTTATGTTCCAATTCAAAGCAGGGCAATGCTAAAGAATGTTCAAACTACTGTAAAACTGTGCTCATTTCACTGGTTAGCAAGGTCAGGCTCAAAATCCTACAATCTAGGTTTCAGCAATATATGTGAGCAGAGAAGAACCAGAAGAACCAGAAGTACAAGCTGGGTTTCGAAGGGGCAGAGGAACTAGAGATCAATTGCCACCATTTGCTGGATTATGGCAAAAGCAAGGGAGTTCCAGAAAAAACATCTGCTTTCTGCTTAACTTACTACACTATACCCTTTGACTATGTAGATCACAACACATTATGACATGTTCTTAAAGAAATGAAAGTACCAGACCACCTTACCTATCTTCTGAGAAACTTGTGTTTGTGTGTCAGGAGACAACAGTTAGAACCAGACATGAAACAACTGATTGGTTCAAAATAGGGAAAGGAGTACAACAAGGCTGTATATTGTCATCCTACTTATATGCAGAGGACATTATGCAAAATGCCGGGCTGGATGAATCACAAGCAGGAATTATAATTGCCAGGAGAAATATCAACAACCTCAGATATGCAGACAATACCATTCTAATGGCAGAAAGTGAAGAAGAACCAAAGAGTCTCTTGATGGCAGTGAGAGAGGGGACTACAAAGATTGGCTTGAAACTCAACATTAAAAAAAACTACGATCACAACATCTGACCCCTTCACTTCCTGGCAAATAGAAGCGGAAGAAATGGAAGCAGTGACAAATTTCACTTTCTTGAGCTCCAAGATCACTGAAGGCAGTGATTGCAACCATGAAATTAAAAGATGCTTGCTCCTTAAGATGAAAGCTATGACAAACCTAGACTTAAAAAGCAGAGGCATCACCTTGCTGACAAAGATCCCTATAGTCAAAACTATGGTTTTCTGTATATAAATGTGGAAGATGGAGCATAAGGAAGGCTAAGCGCCAAAAAAATGATGTTTTCAAATTGTGGTGTTGGAGAAGACTCTTCAGACTCCCTTGAACTGGAAGAAGATTAAATCAGTAAATGCTAAAGTAAATCAACCCTGACCGTTCTTTGGAAGGATATAGATAATAAAGCTGAAGCTCAATTACTTTGGCCACCAAATGAGAAGAGAGGTCTCATTGGAAAAGACCCTGATGTTAGGAAAGATTGAGGGGGAAAGGAGAAGGGGATAGCAGAGGATGAGATGGAGAGATAATGTCATTGATGCCATTAACATGAATTTGGGAAATCTTCAAGAGACAATGGAGAACAAAGGAGCCTGGTTTGTCATGGGGTTGCAAAGAATCAGACATCAGATGTATTGGCTAACTACCGCCTGGTCTCCAACCTTCGCTTTGTGGCAAAGGTTGTTGAGAGTGTGGTTGCGCAGCAATTCCCCCGGCACCTGGAGGAAACTGTCTATCTGGACCCGCTCCAGTCGGGCTTCAGGCAGGGATACAGCACGGAAACGGCATTGGTCGCACTGGTTAATGATCTCTGGAGGGCCCGGGACAGGGGGTATTCCTCTGTCCTAGTTCTTTTGGACCTCTCAGCGGCTTTTGATACTGTGGACCACAGTATCATGCTGCGGCGCTTGGTGGAGTTGGGAGTGGGAGGCACCGTTATGCGGTGGTTCTCCTCCTTCCTCACC